CCAATTTTTCCCTTGGGCACCCAAAGGAGCCCCCCTAGCAAGCCCACGTCCATCCTCCCTTCCATCGCGACCAGGATTCCATGGAATCCTTAAATCCGCCGCCCGATCTACGCCTTGCTCGCGCCAACCAAAATCTCCCACCGGACACATCACATTTTGCGACACTCCAGGGTTAATCGACCTTTCCTCTCCGGCGCGTATTTCCACGCGATCGCCTGCACGATTCGCCTCACGAACTTCCCCGGCGCGAATCCTTGCGCGTTCTCCGTCGTGATTCGCCTCGCGGTCATCGCCGGCGCGATTAGGTCCGTGATCACCTGCACGATTCATCTCGTGACCTTCTCCGCACGATTCACTCCGTGATCCCCCTCGGTCGTAGCCGTTTAAGCTACCGTCTTCTCCAGCGCCGACGTTGATGCCGACAGAAGTTTCACCTGTTCTTCCATTAGCCGGCGAATCTCGGACAGATCCGTCCTATTCTGTGATAATTCCACCCTAACCTCCCCGAGCCCTTTCTCCATCTCGCCAATTCCTTTTTCCATGGAAACCCTAACTTCCTTGATCTCTTTTTCCGCCAATTCGAACCTTTCATCAGTTTTCCTAGCCGCCATTTTTTTTTTTTTTGGCCAGAATCAACGCTCTGATACCAAATTAATAGAACAGAGTAGTGTTCCCACAGAAACGAATCAAGAAGAATGAAAAATGTAATCTTTATTGATGAACCAAAAAAATTTACAGACTAACTATCAACACTCTCTCTCTCTCCCCTTGCTCAGCTTCAGCCAAGACTTCCCAAACAGACTCCAGTAATTTCCTACCTTTCTAATCCCACCTCTGGCGTATTTATTCCACTCTCTTCCTTACACACGACAACCCCCCTGCACCCCCCCCCCCCCCCACGCGCCCCCCCCCCCCCCCCCCCCGGCAATGTACAGAAACTCAGTTAACTAACTACTAACAACACTCCTAACTCCACGTCACTCCCTCTTCCCCTTCCTAACATAAACTTGTCTAAGCAACGGTTTATCAACCTTATCAGATGTCTGGGATAGCATAATTCACTAGGTCGCATTGTGGACTTCGCAAGATAAAGAATTCAAGGCTTTTTCATTCTTAGATCTCCTATGGGGATGGGACTTAATTTTATTTAGTGTTGTCCCTGTTGTAGTTTTTGTGGTTTTTGTTTGTGTAGTTCTTTCAGTTTTACCTGTTTTGTTTGGTTTGAGGACTCCTTGTCCTCTGGTGTTCTTTTTTCAATATTTATAAAATTCTCGTTTGTTATCCAAAAAAAAAATACAAATTTTATGATTATAGCACGTGAGCTAACTAATACTGCTGATAGAACCTACTTAAGCTGGACTGTTAAAAAGATTAGCACCTAAAGAATGTGGCATTTATTAAATAGAATTAACTACTCTTAACACATTATAAGCACAATTTTGTCACCGTTTCAGAACCCAATAAGAAATACAAACAAAAAAAACAAAAAAAACAAAAAAAAAACCCGGTAGAAAACCACGTAACTTTTGATTTAATGATAAATCTAGGCCTCCAGGGAGTGATTGAGCCAACCCTAGCGAGAACAAAGTAGGAGTCACCAAAGAGTGAATCTACAGTGTTTTCCGTAATTCTTTTAACCTGAGCCCCTAGGGGAGATTGGCACAAGAGAGTAGCCAACCACTATGCCTTTTTCCAAATACTACACGTTGCAACCAAGATCTTGTTGAGTTGAGCCATAATTAACTTAAATACAACAGAAGAAAACCCAAATTTTGCTCCAGAGTGAGCTTGCAATCCAGTCTACAACCCTGCTCAACCAATGGCCCCACTCTCATTTCCCTCAGTTTTATTTCTACTTCAGAAAAAAAATTAGGAGTTGGCCTAAATGTGTAAACTATGTTAACTGGCTAGAACGACACAGCACACGAGAGTTAAAGACTAGAAGAAAGGTCCACCATATAGGCTGAACTGAATACGAGCATTGTGGCCGAGCTTGATTGTTGGAGTTCCCTAGCCCTAACTATGCCCAGGCATAGTGCAATGATGTTGTTACCTACAGTCATTTACATTTCTTAGGAGTAACCATTTGAGACTTGAATTTGACGGACTTTCACTTCTTCAAAGACTTAAGCAAGAAAATCTTGTAGAACTTAGACACCATCCCTCTACACCCATACCGCAGTTAGGCCACTTTAATAAAAATCACCAAGGGCCAGTTTGGTATTGTTTTTGGAGGCCCCAAAAAGTACTTTGCACATAACACGATGCAAGGAGTGTATTTGCCAAAAGAGCATATTACTTCTTTTACAATAAAACTTATCAAAAATCACACTTTTTCTGTAAATGAAATGAGTTGGAATAAGAAAAAAAAGACAAAAATCCATCGAGGTGTTTACTATTACCAAGGGCCAGTTTGGTATTGTTTACTATTAACAAATATTACTTAAGATAGGAATGGGAATAAATATAATTACTACAATATCCTTATTTGAGATTTTTTTTTCTAAGATTATTTTAGGAATTAAACGGCACTGCCCACATTATTAGGAGAAGCATCAGAATCCGACCTATCTATTCTGTAAGCGGTGTTCACTAATCAAGAAAGGAAAAAGGGAAGAAATCGGTTAATTCCAAATTTTTGTGTTTAGTTGTTTAATTGTACGTCGGGAATTTAATTCTTGTGGGTCCCACCATGAGATTTTGAAATTGAGTTCCAAATTTAGGGGAAACTTATTTCCGGAGGGAGAATTCGGTGGAAATAAGTTTCAATTCCTAATATTTTTTCTAGATTACCATACCAATCTGCCCTTCTAAAATAGTCAACTAAAAGTACGTTTAAGGACATTCTCGAAACCAAATTTATATTACTACCTATTCTTTTGGAAAGAAAGAATATTACTACCTAGGTCCTTGAATTTAACACCCGAAGACTTTACCAACTCAATTAACTAGCACCTTCCAAATTCAGGGGAAACTCATTTCCGAAGGGAGAATTTGGTGGAAATAAGTTTCAATTCCTAAGCATACCAATCTACCCTTCTAAGATAGTCAACTAAAATTACATTTAAGGACATTTTCGAAACCAAATTTATATTTCTACCTATTCTTTAAATTAGTAAACATTGTAGTGAAGGCGCTAGCTAATTGAGTTGGTAAAGTCTTCAGGCGTTAAATTCAAGGACCTAAGATCGAGTCGTGCCTTCACAGAGGATGGGGAGCCCCAAAAAGTACTTTGCACATAACACGATGCAAGGAGTGTATTTGCCAAAAGAGCATATTACTTCTTTTACAATAAAACATCAAAAATCACACTTTTTCTGTAAATGAAATGAGTTCGAATAAGAAAAAAAAAGACAAAAATCCATCGAGGTGTTTACTATTACCAAGGGCCAGTTTGGTATTGTTTACTATTAACAAATATTACTTAAGATAGGAATGGGAATAAATATAATTACTACAATATCCTTATTTGAGATTTTTTTTTTCTAAGATTATTTTAGGAATTAAACGGCACTGCCCACATTATTAGGAGAAGCATCAGAATCCGACCTATCTATTCTGTAAGCGGTGTTCACTAATCAAGAAAGGAAAAAGGGAAGAAATTGGTTAATTCCAAATTTTTGTGTTTAGTTGTTTAATTGTACGTCGGGAATTTAATTCTTGTGGGTCCCACCTTGAGATTTTGAAATTGAGTTCCAAATTTAGGGAAAACTTATTTCCGGGGGGAGAATTCGGTGGAAATAAGTTTCAATTCCTAATTTTTTTTTTTTCTAGATTACCATACCAATCTGCCCTTGTAAAATAGTCAACTAAAATTACGTTTAAGGGCATTTTTGAAACCAAATTTATATTACTACCTATTCTTTTAGAAAGAAAGAATATTACTACTTAGGTCCTTAAATTTAATGCCCGGAGACTTTACCAACGCAATTAGCTAGCACCTTCCAAATTCAGGAGAAACTTATTTCCAAAGAGAGAATTTGGTGGAAATAAGTTTCAATTCCTAATATTCTTTCTAGATAAGCATACCAATCTACCCTTCTAAGATAGTCAACTAAAATTACATTTAAGGACATTTTCGAAAACAAATTTACAACCTATTCTTTAAATTAGTAAACATTGTAGTGAAGGCGCTGGCTAATTGAGTTGGTAAAGTCTCCAGGCGTTAAATTCAAGGACCTAAGATCGAGTTGTGCCTTCACAGAGGATGGGGAGGAATTATGAGAAAGGGAGACAGTTAACCTCAATTATGTAAACCACATTCGATAAAAATTTAGTAAGCATTGGAATGAAGGCATCAGTTGTTGGGTAGGTAAATTCTCCCGGCCTTGAATTCAAGGAACTAGGATCGAATCCCAACTTCACTGTTAGTGGGGAAAGACTATGATTATTAGAGAGGGAACCACTAATCAAAGAAACTTAGTAACATTCAAATAAGAATTAAATTCCTTCCAATTCCAACTCCTAGAATTTTAGTACACTTCAACAAAAATAAAAGTAATAGTTGTATACATACTAGTAAAAGTATTTAGATTAAATGGATTTCCCTTTGCCTTGCAATCTACTATCTAGTTCCAATTACTTCCAAGACAGATTAGTAAATGTGCACCTAAGTACTTCCATTTCAAATTAGTAAAACGTGTGACTTTCCTTACGGTCCTTCGGCGTGAAAAATCTAATGCTGGCAAAAATATCCGTTGCTAGTTAAGCAAAACAAAAAGAGAAACAAAGCCACGAGTCAACCCAAAAAAAAAAAAAGAAAAGAAAAGAGAGCTACTCTGATACACTCAAAGTAGGCATTCAAAAAAAAAAAACAGAAAAGGAGCTTTTGCAGCAGTGTTTGGAACTCAAAGCAAAGAAAAAAAAAATCAATTGCCATAATACAATGCGGCTATGCGCGATTCCTAAGCAGAAGCTAATACAATCATATCAGCAAAATCAAATTCGTTTAAAATAGTTTGTAAGCAAAATTAAAGGCGAGAGGCGTAGAAATGAAAAACCTGAATGCTGAAATCGCCATCGAGGGAGACATTATGAGACTCCTCGGAGAGGAAATTGGCGGGGGCGGCAGCAGTGCCGCCGAGCATGACCTGGCGCTCCTTGCGATCGAGATCGGAGGCGAGCGCCGCCAAATCGAATTCGGAAAAGAAAGGACCTTGAAGTACGGTGTTCACGCAATGTACTGCGCAGAGCTTCGACTCCTGAACCTCATGGTACAACATCCCTCCATTGCTGGCTCCTTCCATCGTCAATCGTCAAGCAATCTCTCTCTCTCCGCTTACTCTCTCTCTCTCACTCTATATAAATTGTGTGTATCTATATGCATATATATATATATATACGGTCACTGTCTCGGCAAAACCCTAAATTCTAGACAGATTTGGTATGGTTTTCTGGGTTGAAGCGAAGCTGGGAGAAATGAAGGGAAAAATCGGATTTTTTTTTCCCCTCTTACTTGAAATAATTATGTTTTTTTTTTTTTGGGTTGCTAAAGCTTAAAGTGTCTTTGCTGAGACGTCACGAGTGAACACGTGAAAGGAACTGTTGACACGTATTAATGTCTTCTATTCATTCATAACAATATATTTTTCGATTAATTTCACAAATTCCTTGAACTTTGTGTCCTGTTTCGATGTTTCCAACATAAAAAGGGTCTTCCCTGAAGTATGAAAAATAGTTCAAAAGATCTCCCTAAATTAATGTTGTTTTATAAATATTTCATTTAAGTATTGATTTTATGTCAATTTATTTACTGATTTTTTAAAGATCGGTGTACAAATTGATACAAAAATAATAATTTAAACATTTCAAAAAACATAATACTTTAGAAAGTAAGTTAACTTAAAATCAATAATTTGAGAAATATTATAAAAGTATAAATAGTGTTATTTTCATCCTCTTTTTAGTTCTATAAATATAAGGGATAGTTTGAAGTTGAACTAACTAGGATATAATTTATAGGTAAATTGAACTCTTCAAAATTTGGTGGTATGTTAAAACAATGTACAAAATTGAAGAGATTTTTATGAAAATAACTATTTTTTTAACTTTCTACATTAGGGTATCTTTAGTAGTCTATGAGTTCTTTTCTATCTCTATTCTCATCCCGTGAAAAAATTGGCGATGATTTTAATTTAAAACAAAAGTTAGTTGAATTACATTTTAAGTTTTCATAAAACAAAGCAAATTCTAACAAATATATATTTTATATATGTAAAGAATAACAGTAGAACTAGGATAATAAATATATTTTTAGAATATAAGCAACACGCATATATTTTAAAAAATATATAGGTGTACATTGAGACGGAAGCGGGATGAGATTATTTCACGTTTAATTTGTTAGAATTTTGCTTTGTTTTATGAAAATTAGCGTCCCTCCTCATCCTACGAGGAGTGCATTCTTGTAAGAAAAAAAATGTCATCTTCAATATTTTTACCAGTAGTGCCACGTTTTGAAGACTTTTAGAATCAAAGTCATAACTACAACGAATCTCATTTTTTTGTCTACTTAAACTTAAAATCGAAATGAACTATACTCGTATATTCTTTCAGTAAATAGTATGTTTTTAATTTTGAGAAATAAATTATGTATAATAATAATAATAATAATTAGTATTCTTATACTAGAACAATCAAGTAACAAACATTAGTAATATTATATGTTTTCAAAAATTAAAAATAGTGTCCAAAGTTGATAATTTATTTATTGTCTTTGTTTCAGCGAAAGAAAGAGAGAGAGAAGACGAGAACAGACTTCAAAACATCTCAATAAAATTGGGGCCCACTAAATATCGTCCCAGGCTTTAAGGCTGTTCATAAACCCGAACAACCCGCAAACCCAATTCACCCCGCCCCAACCCAAGCCGAAAAAAGCAACCCGCAGTATTATTTTTAAATTTTCGGCCTATTATACCTCTGGCCCGAAGTGTTTGGGACGGATTGCGGGTTGGGCCCATAACAACCCGCAATCCCCAACCCAACCCGCACAACATACCCCCAAGCTTTCGGCCCAAGCCAAACTGCTCAAGTTCTACCTTAGGCTCGCTAACATTAGGGTTCACAATCTCATTCTCGGTCTCCCCTCCCGACGGCAGGCTCCCGTGAACCCCCACTTCTTGCCTCTTCCTTTTCAGTTTTCCCTCTTCTTCCTCTCCCGTGAACCCCCTCATAACTCTCTCCTCATTGCTTAGTCATCTTGGCCGCCGTCTTGCCTACTTTCTCCGTTGCTCTCTCGCCGGATTGATAAGGATGGTTGTTATTTCTATTTAATGATGAAGTTTGAATATTATATTGAACTTCAAGTCTTTGATTTTTTTTAATGTTGAAACCGACCACCCAACCCACCCTGCACCGCCCCAACCCAACCCAACCCGAACGTCGTTTTGTTGTGAAATTTTTCTATCATCGTTGGGTTGTGAAATTTTTCTAACATCGTTGGGGCCAAATATGTGCAACCCGCACCCTTTGGGACGGGAAAAAAAAGTCCTACCCCGCACCAACCCAACCCATGAACAGCCCTACCAGGCTTCACATTCAATTTTCCCACTCTTAAAGGAAAATCGTAATGAATAGTTAATTTTTTAAACTAAATTGATATATTTTAAAATTATTTGAAGTAAATAACAGTATATATAGTAAATGAATAATTTACTGTATAAATAATTCATTTTATATTAGTAAAAAGATAACTTACGTGATAAATAATATTAAAAAAAATTTATTTACGTGAAAAAAAATCTTTTTACCAGTCAAAAAAAGAAAACTTGCGTGAAACAAATATTTTCACTAGTCGTAAATAAACCATTTATATTTTATCACGTAAACTGCTATTTATTTTAAATAATTTTAAAATCTCCTATTTAGTTAATTTAATTTCAAAAATCTTCTAGTTACTACATTCTCTCAAAAAAAACAAAAACAAAAGGTACAAAAATTAAAAGGAACGGAAAAAACACAACGACCGAAGGTTCACACAAAGTGAAAATAGAAAAAGAAAAATCGCCATAAAAGCAAATTATTTCTACATCTTAAGACCCCTTCCATTTCGAACCCGAAGAGCATAAACGTTTTTTTTCCCCTCTTCAAAGAGAATAACATTGATAAAATATAAATAAAACATCAGCGGCATACTTTTTGCATTGCAATTCAAACTTTGACATGTTTAATATTTAAAAACAAATCAAACACGAGAAATTACAGTGGATGGTTGTTAACATAAAGATATAACATATATAAAGATATGAAACAAGGGACAAAACGAGATGCCTAACATAAATATATAAAACAAGGGACTAAACGAGATGCCTTGACACTTAATGAAGATTCTCAAAGGCAATGAACAGAAACTCTGCGAATGTGTGATGTAAAATATAATTCAGTACCTAAAACAAGTAAAAAATAGCAATGGCAAACAATTGTTCCACAAGTTTAAGCCTATGTTGTATCGACCTAATTCAATCACATATTTACTATCTTGAAATGAGAGTGAGATTGATAACTCCCACTCAAATTTGAGATTAAGGAATGAGATTGACACTCTCATGCCTCCCTTAATATTGAGACTCTAATTCTTAATATTAACATTAAATTACTATCATACCCATATTTTACTTATAAATATACAATTCAAAATAAAATTCAAAAAATAATAATTACAACATATATTTATTATTTTATCATAATTATTGTTAACTTTAATATAATAAATATGTACTTTATTTTTTAATAAATTAATAATATATTTTAATTTTTTTAACACTATTTTTTATTTTTCTTTATTTTATTAAATTTTTTTAACAATTTATTTTTATATTTTAAATAGTTGTACACTTTATATTTATTATTTTAATACCCTATTATTACACTAAATATTTTAATTATGATTAATTTTAATATAATAAGTAAACAATTTATTTTTTAAATTGAAAATATTAAATTGACTTAAAGGGTATATTAATATTTTTACACTATTTCATTCTGATTCTAAGTGTAAGAAAACGTATGAATGAGATTTAGATTGACTCCAATTCCGAATCTTATCACTAAGTAAATAACTTATTCTGACTCATCATACCCACTTCGAATCCTGCCTACTCCGATTTATACTCATTCCGATTACGTGTAGGTAAACATGCCATAAAAAGATGATTACCCTCACCTTATTAAGTGGATTATGTTAATATCTCCGACCAATATAAGATTCTAATAATTCTATCTTTTATCGTCCCCTCTTCGTAAAGGTGTATATGAAACCATCCCTAGTATTTAGAAAGGAAAACTGTAATCCAGAAAATGTTACTTTGAATTAGAATCCAAAATTTAGTAAATAAAGTAGATCGCGAGCTATTATTTGATTTCCTACAGGAAAAACTGCAAGTTTAGAACACATTTCAGACGGGATTGTACATTTGTTTCTTGAACAACTAGAAAAATATCATATTTGTCTTGCTCTTTCCTTCAATCCCCTTGTAATTATGGAGACCCAATATATTTCAGCACCAATGACTTCTCAAACAAGCAGATCATTTCTCAAACAAGCAGATCATAGTGGTTCCTACCACTATACAGAAGCCTCACTGGCTTTTTCGGTTTTCTTTTAATGGAGCCTTTGCTGAACTCAGCACCATATTCTGCAATGGGAATAAAACCAGAGCCCCATCCACCCCTTGTATGCTGCAATTAAATTAGAACACAAAAAGGATGAGATGATTTGATAACCTACCTAATTGACATGAACAAGCATGATGTGCCATGAGTACACTCTATTTCCTAAATTGGAGAGGAACAAAGCAGGATTTTTTTCCCGAGGGGAGTGAATTAAACCACAATTTTGAACTAAGAGCATGTTTATTTTGCATCAAAGGGAACGGGAAAGTGAGGAATGATTTCCTTTCCTATTTAATAATTAGTTTACTTACAAAATCAATAATGTAGATTTAGTTGGCTCCACACAATATAGGGAATGAAGAAAAAGAATGTCAATCCTCACACCCCCTATAGAGCAACTCCAACTACGCTAACTATTTTATATTTTTAGTTAAAATAGGATTTAGCTAGAATTTAGTTTTTCTCCACTCTAACCATTAGCTAAATGATGAGCCATTTTAGAGAATCCACTTCACACTTACTAAATATAACTAACAAAAAGTGACTAGCTATTTGATTTTTTTGTATTATTTTATTGTTTCAAACCATAATAAATGAATGTTCTTTTAAAATTCAATAAAGTTGTTTAGATTTTTAAACTCAATAAAAATTAAAATAATCTATACTTAGTTAAAATAAGAAGTATGATTAGAGTGTATCACTCAAGAATTGCTAGCTAAAATAATTTTTTAACTATTTTAGCTAAAATTCAGAGAGCTCTCTTAAAGATGCTCTTAGTATTGATTCCTTGTCAAAGGGAATGAATGCTAAATTTATTTAGCTAATATAAATAATTTATACTTAGCTAAAATAGAGAGTATGGTTTGAGTGTATCACTCAAGAATTGCTAGCTAAAATAATTTTTTAGACATTTTAGCTAAAATTTAAAGAGTTCCTTTAGAGATGCTCTTAGTATTAATTCCTTGTCAAATGGAATGAATGCTACATTTACTTATTTACCCTTAATGAATTACTATACAGTCAATTATTAGTTAATTGTGTAAAAAAATATTTTAGTGATTACATTTATAACATTGTTGTTTCTAATTTTAGTAAACATAACAAAGGGAATGAGTTTGTTTCCCATTACACCATCTAATAAGGCTGTAGAAAAAAACTGTTAACCGACCGGAACCAGCTGAAGAAATAGGTGCCACGTCACGACCAAATGGTGGTGGTCAGTTAACCGAACTAGGGCTCTTAGTATCTCAGTTCGATTTCAGTTTCAAGTTTTAGATTTTGCTCAATTAACCGAACAGAAAAATATAGGTTGCCTTAAAAAATATTTTTGAAAATATTGTAAAAATACTTAAAAGTAATACTCTATCTACTAGTATTTCGGTTAAAACACTATAAAAATCCTTAAAAGTAATACTCTATCTACTACTAATATTGTATAAATTCTTAATTTTAAAAATATTGTAAAAATGCTTAAAAGTCTTTCGGTTAACCTCCAAAATTGAACCGAACTGACTGCGTATGGCGGTCCGGTTGATGTTCGGTTTTATACCCTCGTTGGACAGTTTCGGTTCTAGTTATCTGCAAAACATAAGCTTCAATTTGATCACCGAACCGAGAAAATCCGATAAAAACCGACCAACGTACACCCCTACTATCTAATAGTCAAGTAAACACTTGAAAGGGAATGAATGACCCTTAATCTTATTACTTTACTTTCCAATCTCATTACCTTTCTCATTACATTCCTTTACGACTAAAATGTCTTTTTATACAATTTGATAATCACTGACTATAAAATAATTCATTAAGGGCATGTTTACTTTGCATTTGCATCAAAGGGAATGGGAAAATAAGGAGTGATTCCCTTTCTCATTTAATAATGTGTTTACTTACAAAATTAGTAATGGAGATTTAGTGGACTCCATGTAATATAAGAATGAGGAAAGGGAATACCAATTCTTACACCCCTTTAGTATTGATTCCTTGTCAAAGGAAATGAATGCTATATTTACTTATCTACCCCTAATAAATTACTATACAATCAATCGTTATTTAATTGTACAAAAGAACATTTTAGTGATTACATTCATAACATTACTATTTTAGTAAACATAAGAACGAGAATAAGGTTATTTCTCATTACACCATCTAATAGTCAAGTAAACACATGAAAGGGAATAAATGACCTTTAATCCTATTACTTTACTTTCCAATCCCATTACCTTTCCCATCACATTCATTTACGGTTTGGTTAACGCGCCCTAAAATTATAGTACAACTATCTTCTTTTAACTATTTGTATATTTCTAATTTTCATCCAAAGGAACCAAACTTGTAATTGAGTTTAATTCACTTTTTAGAGGAGTGCTAAATGCAGATTTTATTTCAGACTCTCTTTCAGATGCTACTTCATTCTTTTGAAGCTGTCAACTCATTTTTCTCAATCAACTTCACTTAATAATAGTCCCCTTCTTTCATGTTTATTTACAAGACTGCTATCCTCATTTAATCCCGCACTACCCCACGTGTGTTATCTTTTTTCACCTTTTATTTACGAAAATGACATCATCTCCTTTGCTTCCTAATGAACAGACTTTTCAGGTTCCAGCAGAAGAGAAAAAAATAATAATAATAACGAGGAGAACAAGGTAACACTAAAATATTTATCTGATCACCAGCATTCTAAAGATGCATATGGAAGCTTGGAATCAACAATTTAAGGCGTAGAAGATGGTAAACTCAGACCATAATCTTATATATGTAATCGATAACTTCTTTATAGTTTATAACCATTGTCTCTTTTTTTTTCTTTTTTCTTTTTTTTGAATTTTAGGTACAATATGACTTCTTACAAGAAGATTATATCATGAGTTGGTCAATCAAATATTTAGATGGTTCATAAGTTTGAAGACGTGATTTTGAAGTAAAAATTTTTCAGACGATACATGCTCAGAAGAATGAAAAAAGGAAAACTATTTTTAATTGTTACATTTTAATTTTAAATAAGAGGAATTGTTATATGTTAATTTCACAAATGACAGTAAGCATGTGTTTTTTTTTTTTTCTTGAACAATAAGCATGTGTTGTTTTTATTTAGAAATTATAATTTTGTCTTCTATCATTTTATATTTGATCCTATATTTTTTAATCCTATTTTAATATAAAAATAGAGTTTTTCTTTTTGTTTTTTTGGTACCAGCTATGTAGTGATAACTCTAAGAAATTAGAGTTATTTAATGGTTTTCTAGCTCAAAAGTTGCTTGACCGAGAATGATTTTACTGGTTTCTTTTGTGTTTTAACTTAGATTTTTCAAGTTTTGCACTTACTAAGGCTGAATTCTGTATGTGTGCTCTTCATGAAGTAAATTGGAGGATTTTGAATTAAAAAGAGGTAGAAAAATGACTAAGACTTGTGTGCACACTATGCAGGAAATTCTTTGGCTGAATGTCACAGCATTCTGCTGCAGCATTCTGGGAACAGCTGGCATGTGGATGACATCAGCGGACTACTTGGAGAAAGCAGACAAAAAACCCGTGTGAACTGGTTGAACAGGTGTCATTGTGGACCACTGCATCCATCATTAAGTGACACCCCAGCCTCTTTTGTTGCCCTAGTAGGGATTGTATTTGAAGAGAGAAAAAGGAGCCACCAAGTACATAAGTAAAAATAGAGAAAAGAACAGTACCTGAAAATACAACACAAAGAGTACCTCCTCCAGAAAAGAAGAAAGTACTAGAGACGTGAAAGAAGGGAAGAAGGCAGGAGGTTGAAGGAAGCAAGGCCGGACAAAGAGAGATCCAAGATCCAGCTGAAATTCTTTCTTCTTTCTGTTAGCTTAATTCTCTTTTGCTATTTGGATATTAATTTAGCCATGGAATATTCTGGAATTTTGGATCTTATAAATCTCAATATGAACTAATTTGTTTAAGCTAGGCCTACTAATGGAACCAAGATTGTAAGAATGACAATTTGTTTCTAAGATGCTATTGAGTTACTATTCATGTTCATTCATGTGTGTTAATGCCTATTTCTATTCTTGACTGGCCATCAATTATAGGATACAAGATTAAAATTAGTACTGGAAAGTCTAGTTTTAATCGGATCTAACATGAATGATGCTTGTTCAATAACCTTGTTTAGTTGTTGATTAGTGGATAGTATAAGAATATATTATTCACCTTGCATAACTTGAAGAAACCTGAGCTTAGATCTGCATTCTGAGAACTAGATTCACATAGGAATATGCTGAAAATGGTTTAAAGAACCTTAGTCATAATTAATTCGGAAGAATTTTATGCAGTAAAGGAGTTTATGTTAACAAGGGTAGTAAATGCTATAGCATTTCGCTAACATTTTCCGTCAGACTTGCAATTGAGGGGAAGTTAGGAGACCTAGCTCATTTTGATCATTGATTTACAAACCATAATTACGATCTTGCTATTTTTAGTCACTTTTGATTGCATTTATTTTGTATCCATCTTTACTTCGTTTTAATGAATTTTTGTCAAACTCATTCTTACTTGATTTGTTGATTACATAACTTCCAACACCTATTTTTGGTGATTCAATCTCTGTGGGATGATATTTGTACTTTGGTACACTTTATTACTTGTACGATCTGTGCACTTGCGGACTCACACAACAAGTTTTTGGCACCGTTGCCGGGAATTGAAATCATTACAAGTAGTTGTAGAAGTTATTTTGTTTTTGTTTTGTTTACTCAATTCTTACTCTTTTTGACTTGCGGTCACATTTCAGGTTATTTGAATTATATGCATGAATAACCAGCGAGACCGCGATTGCTACCCTTAGATTCGGAGATTGAAAGGACATTCTTAGCTAAGAGAAGGGAGCAGCAAGGCTTGGTTGTTGTCGAAGGTATGGCAAAGGCAGCAGCAGCAAATTTGGGACACAATGGGCAGCAAGTAAATGCCAACAATCCTGTCCCCCAGCCAGCACTGTTAGATGATAGAGACAAGGCGCGTGCCTATTTTACATGGACTTAACCCCGGCACAGTGAGGCCAGAGATTCAGGCGCCTCATTTCGAGCTCAAGCCGGTGATGTTCTAAATGTTCCAAACCGTGGGGCAGTTTAATGGGATGCCAACTGAAGATCCTCACCTCCATCTCAGATAATTCATGGAGGTGAGTGATACTTTCAAGCTACCAGGGGTGATTGAAGGCGCATTAAGGTTAAAGCTATTCCTTTATTCCTTGAGGGATAGAGCTCGAGCATGGCTGAATTCTTTGCCACCAGCTTCAGTTGCGACATGGAACAATTTGGCGGAAAAGTTCCTCATGAAATACTTCCCTCCAACCAAGAATGCCAAGCTCAGAAACGACATTACCCCATTCCAACAAGCGGATGAGAAATCTTTGTATGAAGCATGGGAAAGATTCAAACAGCTATTGCGGAAATGCCCTCATCATGGGATCCCTCATGGGATTCAAATGGAGACCTTTTATAATCGCCTCAACAGGCAAACAGGGACTATAATTGATGGTGGAGCTATTTTGGCCAAATCTTACAATGAAGCCTACAAGATCTTGGAAAGGATGCCAATAACAATGCCAACCGAGAGACTCAATGCTAGGAAGGTAGCTGGAATTCATGAAGTTGATGCCATCACTGCACTCTCAGCTCAAGTGTCATCCTTGGCGAATATGATAAAAGCAATGAACATGTCGACAGGGGTAAATTCTGTGCAAACTGCTGGAGTCTCTTGTGTTTATTGTGGAGAGGGTCACTTATATAAAGATTGCCCTTCCAATCCAACCTCTGCTTGTTATGTGGCAAACTTCAACAGGAACAGCAATCCTTATTCGAATCCTCACAATCAAGGGTTGAGGCAACATTCAAACTTAACACGGAGTAATCAAGGAGCAAGTTATAGTGGAACCAATGCTTATCACAGACCCACATATCCACCAGGGTATCCACTGCAACAACAATGAACACAAACCGCAGATCAATCTAGCTCCTTGGAGAATTTGCTTAAAGAATACATTGCAAGGAATGATGCTAGGATTCAAAGTCATGATGCAACATTGAGGAACCTAAAAAATCAGATTGGGCAGATCGCTAATGCGTTGAGCAACCAGCCTCAAGGTTCTCTTCCAAGCAACACCGAAGATCCAAGAAGAGAAGGGAAAGAACAGTGCAAAGACATTTCATTGAGGAGTGGAAAAGAGCTGGAGCCAAAGACAAGACCCCAGGCTGTGCAAACAGAGTCCACTTCAATCCAAAAGGTGGAGAATCAAACTCAGCCACCAGAAGAACAGTTGAAGAATAAGCAGCCAAATTCTACACTGCAGAATGCCATAGCATTTCCACAGCATTCTGTAGCGGCAGAAACTAGTAACATCAGTAACAGCAGACCACCTCCACCATTTCCTCAACGCTTTCAAAGACAGCAACATGATAGGCTGTTTTGCAAGTTTTTGGATGTTTTGAAGCAACTACACATCAACATACCATTAGTTGAAGCCCTAGAACAGATGCCCAAAAGTTGCTAATGGTTTTCTAGCTCAAAAGTTGCTTGACCGAAAGAGATTTTACTGGTTTCTTTTGTGTTTTAACTTAGATTTTTCAAGTTTTGCACTTGCTAGGGCTAAATTCTATATTTGTGCTCCTCATGAAGTAAATTGGAGGATTTTGAATTAAAAAGAGGTAGAAAATTGACGAAGACTTTGTGTGCGCTTTGCAGGAAATTCTTGGGCTGAATGTCACAGCGTTCTGCTGCAACATTCTGGGAACATCTGGCACGTGGATGACATCAGTGCACTACTTGGAGAAAGCAGACAAAAAATCCATGTGAGCTGGTTGAGCATGTGTCATTGTGGACCACTGCATCCATCATCAAGTGACACCTCAGCCTCTTTTGTTGCCCTAGCAGGGATTGTATCCAAAGAGAGAGAAAAGGAGCCGTCAAGTACATAAGGAAAAATAGAGAAAAGAACAGTACCTCTTCTCCATAAAATACAACACAGAGAGTACCTCCTCCAGACTAGAAGAAAGTACCAGAGACGTGAGAGAAGGGAATAAGGCAGGAGGTTGAAGGAAGCAAGGCCGGACAAAGAGAGATCCAAGATCTAGCTGAAATTCTTTCTTCTTTCTGTTAGCTTAATTCTCTTTTGTTATTTGGATATTAATTTAACCATGGAATATTCTGGAATTTCGGATCTTGTAAATCTCAGTATGAACTAATTTGTTTAAGCTAGGCCTACTAATGGAACCAAGGTTGTAAGAATGACAATTTGTTTCTGAGATGCTATTGAGTTACTATTCCTGTTCATTCATGTGTGTTAATGCATATTTCTATTCTTGATTGGCCATCAATTATAGGATACAAGATTAAGATTAATACTGGAAAGGTTAGTTTTAATCGGATCTAACATAAATGATGCTTGTTCAATAACCTTGTTTAGTTGTTGATTAGGGGATAGTATAGGAATATATTATTCACCTTGCATAACTTGAAGAAACCTGAGCTTAGATCTGCATTCTGAGAACTGGATTCACATAGGAATACGCTGAAAATGGTTTAAAGAACCTTAGTCATAATTAATTCGGAAGAATTTTATGTAGTAAAGGAGTTTATGTTAACAAGGGTAGTAAATGCTATAGCATTTCGGTAACATTTTCCGTCAGACTTGCAATTGAGGGGAAGTTAGGAGACCTAGCTCATTTTGATCATTGATTTACAAACCATAATTACGATCTTGCTATTTTTAGTCACTTTTGATTGCATTTATTTTGTATCCATCTTCTTTACTTCATTTTAATGAATTTTTTTCAAACTCATTCTTACTTGATTTGTTGATTACATAACTTCCAACACCTATTTTTGGTGATTCAATCTCTGTGGGACGATATCTGTACTTCGGTACACTTTATTACTCGTAGGATCTGTGCACTTGCGGATTCACACAACACATAGCATGTACAAACTAGCATCTGTATGTGAGGTAATGAGGGAGTTGGAAAAAAAAGAATAAATAGAAAACAAAAGAAAAACCAAAATAGACGTAAGGTTGCGGGGGGTTAGAGTTGAAAAACAAAAACAAAACGCGTGAGGTAGCGCTCATTTGCCAAAAGAAAAAGAAAAACAAACAAACAAACAAAACAAAAGGTAAGACACGTGAGGTAATGGAGATAAAATCTGAGGATGGCAGTCTTGTGTAAATAAATATGGAAAAAGTGAATTGTTATGAAAATTCATAATTTTTTTTTTCTACCAAAAAAGATTCATAAAATTTTTAAGTTAGATTCAATCAATAATAGGTGTATTATAATTAAAATTTTAAATTTAAATTAGTTTTAAATTCAAACTAAATTTTAAACCATAGAACTACTAAAATACCCAAAATAACAAATTAAATGTCAATTTCGGCTAAATTAACCTAATGGAAAGGGTTTTTTTTGTTAACATTTCGGTGTTCAGGGGGAACAGATGTTACGTTTCAAAGATTGGGAGGCAAAGTGTTACAAGAGGTGTAGTTCATGGGGAATTTTTGTAACTAATCATAATTTTATCCTTTTTGCCAGTTTCAGGTTCCTACATCTTGCAATCCAATTTGGATATGAATATGCATTACTCAAATAATCCCAACTCCCAAGAGAGAGCACGTATTTGCGTAATGAATTCATCAGGGCCCTTTATTTCCTTTCCTACCTCGTATCTACAAATTGAATGTGTATTCAAACTCACTGATCTAATTGACGTGGTCCAATCCTTGATTTCACTTCCAAGCTTATTACCAACGCAATGCACCAGCAATAACGAACAAACCCCAAATAATCATCTTCTACTTCTAAAATATTATTTGGCTGTCTACAAAACTAACACACATCTATATGCAGCAAGATAGGTATCTTAGATAACATACCTCATGCTCTGGTATGTACACAATTATTGGCTGCCTACACAACTTCGATAGCACCTGTTACAAATTTTAAAAGGCCGGCAATGAAAACAAGCACAGTAAGGGGATCAATCTGACCAAAGCAAGAACATGAAAAGTGAATGCAGCAACTACTGACAGCGGAAGAGAGTGGAAATGGATTTCTTATGGTAACACTAACCTCCCCCACCCCCTATACTTGCTTCAAAAGAAGAAAAAGAAGAGAAAAACACCATGCAAATTTAGCTAAATGCCAAAGTATTTCATCTTTGGGACAACTTTAAGAACCAAATTCCATCACCTAACGGGACAGATGGCCTCAATATTTTTCGATCCAGAACCAATCATTTGAAACTAAAGTTTAGCATTAGTAATTAGCCTAGCACCGCACCACCAACATGAATGCTTGCCTACTTGATCAGTAATATAAGCAGCCAAGCAAGTGATGTTGGAATCATGTGAAATCACATATTGTGAAGAAATATATGGAAAAAAAATCCAAAACAGGTCATAAATCAAACATGCACCAAAAGAGTACTGACCAATAGCTCCGATTCTCCTCCCCAGAAATCAGGCCTTCCAATGCGTTGGCAGTAACTATGGACAGAACAGATGTATCAACTGAATTGCATATAAATTGCAGTGTGCACCAGAACATCAAATTCAGATTAACTTCCATGGTTCTCAAAAGATAATATTGGTCTTACCGTTTTAAAGACTCCTCAACTGTAATGGCAACTAGTGCTGCTTCATATTGATGGCGTTCTTTGTCATTGTCACAAATAACCTCTTTTACAGCCATTCGTAATTCATCTGCATTTGCCACCGCCAGCTAAATTTCAATACATTCATATCTGCTTCATATTGATAGTCTATGTGGAAAACGCAATCTATTGATTTTGTAAATAGGATAAATTAGGAAAGTTTGATTTTTATATTTTGTATCCCTAGGATTAAGATAATCAGTTAGTTTCCTGATATCCCATGAATAATGGGATAAGGTGTAATCTAGGAGATTCTATTTTTGTGTATAAAACCCTAAGAGGGCCAGCTGTATAGATTAATTGAGTGAATAAGAATTATATTTTTTCTCCTATTTTCCCACAGTCTATTTGGCTAGTACTTCTACAAAAGAACAACTGATCAATTCCTTCAGCAGCTCAGCTGCTCGGGTCTTCATCTACACACTTACGATATATATTCCTCAGAAAGAGGATGGGAAAAAGAAGTCCAACAACATAGATCCAGAAGATGACAATAATGTATACCAAATAATGCTTCGTGATATGAAGGGAGAAACTCAACAAAGATGCTCACTATCACCTATATAATTATTGGAAAAGAAACCCAGTTCATGATTATAGGAGGAAGGTGGAAAAGCTAAAGTAGTTGAAATGGTATTATCTCAGGAAAAACATGCAGTGCCCACATTATAGAAAAACAATCAAAATACATTAATAAAAAAAAATCCACAAAGATGCTTTATCAAAGTCAAACACAACCATTTATATCAGTCATATAATACTAACAAACTACATAGAGATGTAATTTTCCGAGAAAAAAAAAAGATTATAATGCCAGTATAAAACCTATACGGGAAAACACTAGTTCACTTGTGGTACTAACTTAAAAGGAGGCAAAATATCCAGCAGAATTTCAATTACTTAAACAAGAGCAAAGAATGATCTTTCGTACTCATCAAGAAAAGTACAAAACCCACCATCCACCCTCCAAAACTCCTCTCTCACTACTTTCTAAAAGGAAAAGAAAAGCTCCTATGTAATGTTTTCATGAAGGATTTTGTTCTCAAATAAACTCATATATGCCTGACATCTGCAATAATCAATAGCAACTCTTGTATGGATACCTGCATCCTCTCTCTCTTCTCGTGGGCCAAAAGAAATTCCCTTGTTGAAAGCCATTCCCTTGACCTGATTTCACTCATCACTAGTTAATACATGATGCAAGGAAGTATTCTGATATGAGTTATCACTTGAGCAATTAACTCTAGTAAAAGATGAAAAACTAACTCAAGTTCCAAATGACGCACCGGCCAACATGCAGAGATAGGCAACTGACGTCCACAACTTTCACTCACTCACAACTAAATGATCTCTAGAAGAAGACAGCTAGGATGAGGCTTTTTCCACAAACATGTAATTCTCTTACTCTCTTTTTCAAGATTCTCCAGGCATAAAAATCAATGCACTAGATTTAAGCTCAAAATGCTACGTTTATTGCAACCCCTTTGAGCAACTCGGTCAGTGCCAGGCATCACCAATGGTGACGTATCACTGCATGTTTGGTAGTAAAATACAACACTTCATGCCGTGTCACTAAATGGGATTCTCACTAGTCTAAACTTGGTTTACATATTTCCAACTAAATCTATTAGGCAAAACCCTCTGAATCGAATAGCGCTCACCTTTTGATTGCAAACCCCTGACGCTACTAAGCAAGCTTCAAACGTATACTTAGTCCAGGACCAATGCTTAGGCAGCTGGCAGCATATGTGGTGACCTATTGCCTCATTTTCTATAGTAGAATAGAAGTAGAACCATGAC